GTGTGTGTGTGTGTGTGTGTGTGTGTGTGTGTGTGTGTGTGTGTGTGAAAGAGAGAGAAAGTTCACGTATGCATAAAGGTATTGTGGGTGCACTAGAAAGCCAGGACAGGGTACTAGCTCCCCTGGAGCTGGAGTTACTGGTGATTGTGAGTCACCCAAAGTGAGAGCTGGGAACTGAACTTGGGTCCTCAGGAAAGCCTCAGGCACTCTTGAAAGCGGAACCATCTCTTAAGCCCAAGGTGCATTTCAAAGTTGGTATGTTTTTGGTGCCACACCTCAGATGCCCAAAGAAGATCAACAGATAGATGATGTTGTGCATCTGAACTTTCAGCCTTGTTTATGAAACAGAAAATAATCAAAACTAAAGAAATGGCAACAAAAAAAAAAATTGAGAACATCATGTCAGGCACTTTGGACTGAAGAACAAAAGGCCATGTTATCCTAAAATGAAAGAGCACAGAGACGAGCCTTGGAACCCACTAAGCAGCATCTTAGGGAGGAAGATCTCATCCTTAAGTCTAGGTATTTACTTAGCAGAATGGGCTGCGGATACAACATCATTTATAATATAGAATGTGGATGGTTAAATCACTACCGATGCGCAATGCTCAAACAAACTGGTTCAGCCACATAACTGAATACGAGGTGGTCATTAAAAGTGAAGCATCTGTATGGACAAAAGAGTTACAGAAGTATTATATAGATAAGTACAGCAAGCTACCTAAATGTGTATATAGTTGTATTTGAGTAAAAATAAAACAAGCCAAAAGAATACGTTCATAGGAGATCAAGTGATGATTTCACAATACACTAACACCAAATTCTTAAGTTGTACAATCATGACAAAAGTTGAAAGAGAAATAAATGGAAACTCTGTAGCCAATCAGTTTCTGTACTTTTCATTTTTATAGAATGAATGGATGCACATCTGCATAATTGCTGTGCCTCCATGAAGACCATCTTGGAAAATATTTTTCCCTTCGGTTACAACATAGTAAAGTTATTCTGTTATAATTATTCAACTTTTATTGACACTATAATTCATAACCTCCCACTTACCAAAATCTAAAACTTAAAAAATAGAGAGTTTTTGCTCATGTCATTTCAAAATAAAATTAAATGTAATGTTTCAGGTCTTACCTAATCTTGTGAGGTTTAAGACCTTAAGGAAAAGCTAATATGCAGACCTGACCTTTAATGTGGATACACACACCAGAGAAAAACAACCAAACTATTTCAGATTTTTCCTGTAAATGTTAAGTTAAAATGTCATATCCAAAATTTCAAAGTTGATAAGTTGAGATTATCAATATTCAAAGATTCAAATTAAGTTTAGCTGGCATATTAAAAGGCAAAATATTGAACTTAAAACATCTGGAAAAAGAGGAAAATAATATTTGTATCACATGAATATTTTAAGTCATATTCCTCACCTCAAGATGGTTTATCTTTTTATAATATATTTTTATTATGTGTATATGGTATATTTATGTATAGGTAGATATGCATGAGTACAAAGTGCCCTTGGAGACCACAGGTATCAGGATTTCTTGGATCTGGAGTTATAGACCCTTGTTAATACAGATACTGGGAACCGAATTCTGGTCCTCTGCAAGAGCTGCATATACTCATAATCCACTGAGTCGTCTCTCTAGCCCCTACAACGATTTTTCTTTTAGAGACATTTGGTTTGGTAAAATGTTTTTTTAGCATCCAGGGTAAGATGAATATGAATAAGGGTAAAATAAATATGAATGTTCTCTCGTCTCATTGAAAGTTACTGAATAAATAAATAAAGCCAAAGGTGGTTGATATTTAAGTCGAATCAACACAGTTCAGATTTCCAATGAATCTTTCACCCTCCATATCCATTGACTGAGGCTTAGTTTTCTGTCCAAATGCCCTGAAGGAGTCAAAGAATTTAGGGCTAAATTTTGGGCTGGTGCCACTGAGTGTTTCTCACATATAGGGACTAAGCTAATAATTACATCAAAGAGCAAAGGAAATCTGACATGTAACTGCCAGGAAAGGAGCATTGTGGAAAGAAGAACCAGATAGCTGCTAGATTAGAACTGAATGTGCCCATATGAGCCAGTTAGATGAACAGATACATAGAAAAATGAGAAATACATTAGATGATAATGAATAGATAGATAGATAGATAGATAGATAGATAGATAGATAGATAGATAGATAGATAGGCAGGCAGATAGGCAGATATATATTATAGATAAATGACAGATAGATATAATAGACAAGTTGATTGGAAGATGACATATAACAGGTAAATAATATGATAGGTTGACTGACAGGAAGCAGATAGATGCTTACAAACAGACATACAAGTATATGCGTGTTCAGGTGTGTATGTGCTATTCTTTAGAGTTATCGCAATATGATACACACAGTAGGAATGAGCCTACCCAGTTTGCATCTCTTGGTTTCTAAAAGTCATTTTCTAATGAAAGGAACAAAAAAAAGTCTGACTTCAGAGTTAGATGAGAGAAAATACAAAATGAACTCAGATAATCTTATTGAAGAAAAAAGTGACAAAAATCACTCCAATGGACAGATTCCCCAACTTTGAACTTAATGGATGCTAAAAGAATTATGTGAAAATCGAACAGAAACAATATGCATCCAATCTTCATTATCTGTGGATTATTTTACTAGTCAATTTAGCTATTTGCTAAAATGTACTTGTAAGCCTAAAGTTACTATCTGAAGCTTGTTCACAGCCACACTCAGCAGGAGACCCTTGCGTCATCCCATAGGAGACCCTTGTGTCTCCTTCACTGGCAGAGGTGGCAAACACGGTCTGTCTCCTTCCTGTAGCTCTGCCATGATAAACCGCGCCTTTGTCATACTTTTCTCACTGTGCTTCTTGCTGGTGGTTTCACTTATTTAAAAGGTTCCTAATAGCAAGCATTGGTGGCACATGACTACAGTGCCAGTCCTTTGGAGGTGAAAGTGCAAGAACCACTGGTGGAGGAGCAACGTTGTTAATACAGCAAGACTTCACCTCCAACACATTAAAGGTAAAATACCTAGCCCTCCCGTGGTTGTCTGTGGTACTACAGCTGACTGTGATGAATGAGCTCAGAAGAAATACACACATCAGAGATGCTGATACGAGGCACCAATTACAGGCATGTGGTATGACCTCAAAATTAACGAATCAACAGCAGTCATTACATACAGACGTTTAAAAACGAAGTCATGTACAGATGAGCTGTTGAACACATCATGGCGGAATCAATCCCGTGTGTCCTCTAGAAACAGTATTTCCATGATCATTGGTTTGATGATCATGGTGACGTCACAAAACATAATGGCTGGGAAGAGTGGCAGTTTGTTGATCTTACATAGCCTCAAAATATTCCCCCATAAGGCATTTGTATATTATTTATTGGTTTTATTGCAGTCTACTAGTTAACTTTTGGATGGAGTAACCTAGAAAATGCAACCTCATCCAGGGATTAAATAGCTAACCTACTAGATTATTGGACAAATTGACACTATCTGACTAGTTAGGGTGTAATGAGCATAGCATCATTGGTGTGCTAAACCTTAAAGAGTACATAAATCAGAAGACAGTGTCAAACCCCAACTAAGGAATCGTCTGTGAAGATAACTTTTGCCTATGATTTTGAGAAAAGGTCAAGATCAGACAGATGAGGATCTGCCCAAAACTGAAGAAGACCCTAAAACTAAATACATGTGATTCTGAATTGGGCCTTGAACATAAAGGGCATCTTTGGGAAGACAGGACTGTCTTAGACAATGGGAATAACTCACTGTGCATTTCTGATTTTTGATGGTTGCTCAGTGGTCATGCAGAACAGAGTCTTTGAGCTTAGAAAAAACACAGGGGAGGATGGGGAGTGGCCAAGCATGTCTCCAACTTCCAGGGTGATTACTGTAATTATTGGAGACTCAACACAGGGCACCAAGTAATCAGGACTCTGTGTGCCTTCTTTTAGGCTTTAGGTGTATGCCCAAAACTATTTTGAGAGCATAGCTTTAATGAGTGAACTGAACAAGAAATTGCTCAATCTATGGATGTGCAACCCAGCATCTACTTCATTTCTAATGCTACAGAATTTATTTTAGATTCATTCCTCAGTGCCATGTAAAATGTGTTATTATGCAATCAAAGATGTCGTTAAGATCATGAGAGAGAGATACTGAGTAATGATAATGATGATCTGGTGTCTGATCATTTGATACTATGAAATTTTTCAAGTTCAGGGCTGACAAGACAACCCAGCAGGTAAAGAAAAGTGTCTACCACCAAGCCAAATTCAGTGTTA